GCGTGAGGTCCTCTGGCAGGGCTTGGGGTCTGGGCCGCCTCCCGGGACCCACCCGGGCCTTGTTTTCCTCCTTTGACCAGGAGGACTGGCGCTGCCCTCCGGCCCTTTCACCCCAAGATGCTGAGAAAATCAGGCGTGTGCAAACGCCTAGGAAATAGCTCAGCGTGGACATCAGAGCTCATGGGACTTTCAGAATAGTTTTCCTCCCCCCGTGGGGCCCATCGCGTCTTGGGCGAACTTACTAAGACGCGGCGGGCACTAGGCTAAGCTCGATCTCCTTGAATTCTCCCCGACATCCTAGGAAGGAGATTCAGCGGTTTTTCATTTTGCATATGAGGATCCCGGGTTGTGCAGCTGGAAGGGGCACCCGCTTCTCCCAGAGCCTGGCACCGGAGGCTGGGTCGATGCCTGCTCCGTCTCCCCGCCGGCGGGAGGGGACATTATTCTCCAGTAGGGCCGCCTGTCTGGGATGCCTGGTTTCTGTGTGGAACTGGCTCCTCGGAGGGAACTGTCCTTGGAGGTGGGTTGACAAATGGTAGACTCAGTCGCAACTTCTTGGAACAGCCTTTTGGCCCTGATCAAAGGCCATGCATTAAAAGTCTCAAAAGTCATGCCCTCTCCAGACGGGTGCGGCCAAACCCAGTACACAGGGCGCTCACTGGACACCGCGTCCTCTCGAAGGGCTGAAGGAGACAGAGGCTCCTCGGAGACTGCTGCAGGAAGCAAGGGATTTGGTGTCCACTGCTCTCGCTCCGGGAGTGGCTCTGAATGTGCCGCCTGACAGTCACACGCCCCCTCCCTTGGGTATTGGACACCAGTAAGAACAAGGCCAGCGGCCAGGGGCATTTCTGGGCTGCCCTGCCCGTCTCGGGTCCCAAGGAGGCGCATTGGTTGCACTGGAGCAGCTCCCATCCCACCCCATCCACGAAGCCAGAGTGCCTGCGGGTACCCGTTCCCGGGCTGTGGTGGGTCAGTTTGCCCGGCTGGGGATCGAACCCAGGGCCTCCCATGTGGGGCAGGGAGGGCGGTCTTGTTGAACAAAAGTAATTCTCAAAGAAATACATGGGCCCCTTTGAGAGTCGGGGCTGCTTTCCAGCGGGAGCCTCCGGATGTTTAGGGCCTGTTCAGCTCGAACAGGAGGGTTGGGTTCTCACTTGTCTGGGAGTCTGGTTGGTTGGAGCCCGGGTCTGGGTGGGTTTGCGGGCTCCTTGGTGGGGAGGGTGAAATAGGGGCCTGTTCCCAGTTCAGGGAGCACTAATGTCGGGTTGGATTTGGGAGCCAGAGGCTCGATTCACAGCCCGCCCTCGTATGCTTTTTCTGTAAGTGCTTGCTGGACTCCTTTATTCACCAGATGTTTACTGAGCATTTGTTGTGTGAGTAGGTACTGTTCTAGGTGCATCAAATGCATCTGTGAGCAAAAGAGACAAAAGATCTGCAATCTCATGGAGTTTATATTCTAATACCTTACTAAAGTATGCAGAATACATTGGCTGCTCAGCGCTTTGGAAGAGAGAAAGGCAGACCTCAGGAAAGGACCCGGCTATGGGAGGGAGGTATCAGCGCATAGGCTCGTGATCTGGTGTTAAGTGACTGATTGCTAGGTTCTGGGTTCAGTTCCCACTCCTGCTGCTGTAGGCTGGTTCTGAGCCCAGGTTTCCCTGCTCGGAGCCTGCTCCACCCGTGTCCCTGTGCTGCCATCTGCTGGCCCTGTGACCTCTGACTCAGCTGCCTGGTGGGTTTTGGGTCTGAACTTTCTTTACATTTTGTTTAAGAAAGCATTTATTTAGAGGGTATATTCTTTTAGACAGAGTCTCACTATGTAGCCTGGGCTGGCCTCAAACGCGAGGCAATCCTTCTGCCTCAGCCTCCTGAGTGCTGGATGACAGGTGTGCGCCACCGTGCCTGCGTGTATATTCCAGACTCGGGTAGAAGATACCGAATAGTGGGGCGTGCGACCGAAGTGCAAGGGCCAAGCTTTTCATAGTTTTTCGGGTTAGCAGAACAATAAACAAATCAAATCTAATTGGATCACATTAGCACGAATGGAGAACACTGTTAGAAGTCGAAGTCGGCAACAAATACTTAAGCAACGCAGTTCTCTTTGGCTGTGGTGAGCAGAAATGAATCCGTACATAGAAATTTCAGGAAAGCCCATTTGCAGTTATCACGAGGGTTGAGACAGCCTGTGCAGGCCTCTGGGGAGACGCGGCTCTAAGTGGTTTTGGACAAACAACCAGCAGGGGGTTTATGGAGCAGCGTCTCCTCTTAACAGGAAGGTGGGGTAATTAGCCAGGTGGGCGGTGCCTGCTTGTAAATCCTGGCGCTTGGGAGGCTGAGTCAGGAGGACTGAGAGTTGGAGTCCTGCCCGGGCAACGTAGCAAGCTCTTGTCTCCAAGTGAAACGGTCAAAAGGGCTGTGAGGGCCGGGGACTTAGCTCGGTGGCATCGCCGCCTGCCTTGCAAGGGCAAGGTCTTGAGTTTGATCCCCAGTACCACAAAAAGGTGGAGGGGCTGTGGGTGTAGCTCAAGTGCAGAGGCCCTGGGTTTGGTGCCCTGTACTGCCTAAAACAAAACACAAACCAAACGGGGATGAAGAATTCAGGGTTGTGTGGTGGAAGCAGGATGCAGGTCGCGCTGCCCGGACAGGGAGGAGCTGCTTCCGGGCCTGGACATCAGGGTTTTCTTGGCCCTTAGTTTGCATCGTCTGTGCCAGGAGTTTGTGATTTCTAAAGCGATGAGGTTGGAGTGTGAATTTCTACATGGTCCCTGCCTCACACTGGGGCTTGAGCTTTTTGTGTTCTGGCCCAGGTGCTGTCCCTAGCCCAGGGACCCCAGGACTGCCAGCCTTCTCCTCGGTCTCCTGTCTGCTGCCATCCAGCCCTGTGACACTGGCGGCTGTTCCTTCTGTCTGTAGGGTGACAAACAGCCGTCCTGGTGACAGGGGCTGCAGGAGGTCTGGCATACCCGCCCTGGGTCCCGGGTCCCTTTCCGGTAAGAAGCCTTTTACAAAACTGAGGGAAGAGTTGGAAAAATAACACAGTGGCCACCTACGCACCCTGGCCCGGAGTCGCCAGGTGTTACCATCTCTCCTGGGACCTAATCTGCGTCTCCTTACCGCTCATCCCTGTCAGAGTGAGCCACAGGCACTGTGCCCCTTGCCCTGGAGTCTGGGGAGTTATCTGAAAGAGGACAGTGTCTCCTATGACCACAGAATGCTTTTATTCTTTAGAAGCCTTTGATTTTTTTGTTTGTTTTTTCTGGTCCTCAGTTTTGAATCCTGGGTCTTGTACACAGTAGCCAAGAGTTCTGACACTGACTTTCATCCCCAACTCCTTTTTTTTTTTCTTTTGAGACAAGGACTTGTTACGATGTGCAGGTTGGCCTTGAACTTGGCGACCTTCCTGCCTCAGCCTCCTGAATATTATTTTTTTGGGGGGGTACCGGGGATTGAACTCGGGTCCTTGTGCTTGCAAGGCAGGCCACTGAACCGCTGAGCTAAATCCCCGGCCCTCAGCCTCCTGAATACCTGAGACTATAGGCCTGTGCCACCACACCAGCTCAGAAACCTTTAACATCAGTGTAAAATTATTGCAGTCGTTTCCCAGGGCTGCCCTGACAAGTACCATGGACTTTGTGGCTTGAGGGATGGGTGGACACTTTTTCCTCACAGTTTTAGATGCTGGAAGCGTCCAAGGGTGGGGGCCGGTGGGTTGGGTTTCTGTCTTTGAGTAGAGGAGAGCCAACCTTGACAATCTCCTCTTAACGCAGGACTTCTTCAGAGACCTCACCTCCACATACTGTTATGTTCTGGAGAGCTGACGGTTAGAATGTCAGCATGTGGATTTAGGGTTCAGGATGGGGCTAATGTCTGTAACGGCACTGTTGTCCATGGGTGGGCCATCCTTTTTTTTTGGTGCCGGGGATTGGGCCCAGGCCTTTGAACTGAGCTATATCCTGGCCCTCTTTTTATTTTTTATTTAAAAAAATTTTTTTTAATTTAGGGCCGGGGATTTGCCTACTTCGAAAGCATGAAGTCCCGAGTTCAATCCCTGGTACCAAAAAACAAACAAACAGAAATTTTTAAAATTATTTTTTAAAATTTTGAAACAGGGTCTCAGTTGCTAACTTGCCTAGGCAAGTGTGGTCCTCCTGCCTCAGCCTTCCAGCGTGCTGGGGTGTAGGTGTGTGCCGCCTCGCTGGCTCTAGTCCGCATTTAAGTTTTGCCAACCGTCTCAGTCCTGTCCTTCACGGCGCTCCTCCCTCCTCCGTCCACGCTCCAGTTTTGTCACATGTCTTCCGTATCCTCTGTAACCTGGAACAGTTTCTTGGTTCTCGGGTTTGGTTGAGAAACGGTGTCTTCCAGGGGCAAGGAGCCGGTACAGGCGGGAATCAGGGT